CCCGGCGGGGGGGGGTGCCTCTGGCCACACTGGGCGGCTGGGTGCGCTTTCCTTGTCCATGCCACGCATCAGCGGAGCTGTTCCTCCCCCCACCGTGGGTCCGCGACCCCGCCGGAGCCCATCAGCCGGCTGGAACAGGGCTACAGTCTCATGCCCGTCAGTCCCTGCGCGAGGGTGCCAGTCACGTGAATTAGTGCCAAACCGGCGGGGGGGGGTGCCTCTGGCCACACTGGGCGGCTGGGTGCGCTTTCCTTGTCCATGCCACGCATCAGCGGAGCTGTTCCTCCCCCCACCGTGGGTCCGCGACCCCGCCGGAGCCCATCAGCCGGCTGGAACAGGGCTACAGTCTCATGCCCGTCAGTCCCTGCGCGAGGGTGCCAGTCACGTGAATTAGTGCCAAACCCTGGTTAAGATCACCTTGTCGGGATGTCCTAGCCATTTGCCCAAACACTGACACACCCGCTCCAAAGCGTGAGCTTGATGGTGGCCTCGGGAACCCCTCCCCTTCTGGCCCCCTGTTACCGTAGCGCTGAGGCCCTTGCCGCAGATGGTGGTCTTGTAGTCGCCGAAGATCTGCCGGACGGCCCCCGTGGTGTAGAAGCCCTCGGCCAGAAGGAGGGCCCCGTAGAGGAAGAAGAAAGAGGCCGTTCCATAGATGACGTATTGGAAGGCGTGGATCCTGGAGGGGACACAGGGAAGAGACAGAGCCGAAGAGGGGGAGGGAGGGAGAGAAAAACAAACTTTTAACCCTCGTCGCAGCTCTCCCCCTTCCAACCCTCTGATGCGCCGCACAGAGACTCTTTCCTGGGATCCGCTAGTCCCTGCCCAGGACAGACACAGCCAAGGCCGGCCAAGCTCCTCAGGACTTACCTAGAACCTGAGAGATGCCAGCTCTGGTCCCTGCCGCTCCCCCTCCGCTCCAGGATGGGGCTACCGCAGTTGGGGAAGCTACCTCGAACGGGGCAAAGGAGGGTCTGGGCTAGGGGGGGGAGGAAGATCCAAAGCAAATGGCCAGCTGGGAAGTAGGGGAAAGCATCTGCCTCCATGGCTTATGGGCGGCGCAGCAGGGAAGGAGAAAAGGAGACACCTGGTGCCATGCCTGTGTTTAAAGCCAGGCAGAGAGCGTGGCAAATCGAGGGCAGCAAGACCTGCTCTGCCCGGCAAGTCTGGCTGCCCCGCGTTCTCCATACCTACCGCGAGCGGAGGATCCGACACTATATCCACTGGACCTAGCAAGGGTCAGACAGAAAACACGTGTGAAAAACACAAGAGGAAGAAGGGTCCCCTGTAGGCAGGGAGAGCACGCGGCAGCCTCCGGAGGCTGGCCGGGAAGGGCCCCTGGGCCAAGTCGGTGCTGGTGGAACTCCCCTACGCCAAGGCAAATCCGGCCCCAGGATCTCCGGGGGTCGTTGGTGAACGGGGCCGAAGGAACGACAAGCCCAGAGACATGTCAAGGGGCCGATGCTTCCCATGGGGCTGAAGGAACCATCTGGCCGCCTGTGTAAGCATCAGCCCATCGGTGACCCCATAGACATGGATCGTGGCCCCGTTTCCCAATCCAGCCGCATGGGGATACCAAGACAGGCGGCGAACCTGGAAGAGATCGGGGCTGGTTCCCAACTGGGCGCAAAGGTGGCCAACAGGTGACGGCGTGTAATTGCCCAGGAGTTTTAAGAGTTTCTGACGGACTAGTGATTTGGGGCACCCAGTGTGAGAATCCTGGAGGATCGTGATCAACCCTCCAAAAACGAAGCCACGTCCAGGCGTCTCATGCTACGCACCCCACCCCACTAGTCCCGTTGGACTCTGTTTACCAGAATGTGGACTCACTGCACTGCCGGCCCTGCTGCCTAGTGGTTAGTGCTCTGCGCACCCCAGCAAGAAAACCAGCTTCTGATCCTGGCAATCTCATTCTCACTGGAATGGCCAGGACAGCTCGGTGGAGTGAGGGTGGAGTGGTGCTGGGTTCTGCAGGAGTCCTGTGCAGCCCTCCAAAGCCGGGTGGGGGGTGGGGTGTGTGTGGCAGGAAGAGAAACCCGGCAAAGGGCATCGGTGTGTAGAGCAGGAGAAGAGGGATACTCACACGTCGATGAGATACTCATAGTCCTGGTAGTTTTTGGAGAAGTAGGTCTCAATTAGCCGCTCGGTGCCAGTGAGTGCTTCATGCCCACAGCCGCAGAACAGCGCTACCCCAAAGAAACACAGCCCAGTGGCCACCAGCGAAGCAAAGGGCGCTCCTATGAGACATCTTGCGCAGCACTCTAACCAACCTTGGGAGGAAGAAAGACATCTGGATCACCGAGCGCGGCCGTCATTCCTAAGGGGCGGGGCGCTCTCAGGGGGCTTGCAGGCCCATTCCCCTGTCCCGTGAAAAGTTTGTTAATTAAACCTAACACAGGGTGGGAACTAAGGGAGGCTTCAATAACCTACTAGGATACAATGGTTTTCACAACTTGAAGGAAAATACAAACATCCGTCCGCAGGGCTAGAGAGCCAAGCGCAGCTGCAGGGACACTGCAGTAACGGGGTGCGGTGAGAAAGCCAGATCGGAGAAGCGAATATCTAACTCCTCTCCAGTGTTTGTACTGCTCCTGTTTTCCCCCATCATACCGTCTGAGCCCCTCCTGGGTTCACTAGATTGGACATGGTGCCCTCTGTGCACCTCCTCTGCATGGGAATGAAAGCACCCAGAAATGAAACTGATTAGCAACACCCGTGAAACTGACCAGTCTCCATTGGGGGCCCAAGCCGAGAGAGCAAAATGTGAACAACCTGTCCCGGGGAGAGAGAGACACTGGAGATGTTAACGGGACTTCCTATGTGAATAATGGGAGCTGTTGGGACGGATGAGAACTTTTTTTTAACGCATGATTTTTTAATGTTGGCGCTGAAGGGGCAGGGTAGTGCTGGCCTCGTGCAGAGCTGAGCGCCAAATTTATGCACTGCCTCTCTCTTACGAAAGCCTCGACTGCAGTTCGATATGGCTTGATAAGCCTCATGCTGGGGCGAATTTCAGCTAGAGGGCACCATCGCCAGCACCCCCTACCCCCGTCTACCCACGACGGACAAGCAATGAAATCACAGCGGGGAGAGTTCTCACCTCCTAGACAGACACAAGCCCTGTGCCTAGCCCACCGGCCCAGAGACAAAGAGAGAAAGAATCCTTTTGATACAGCCGGTACCTTGGCTCAAATCTTCATTCCCATCAACGCAATGGGAGATGGGTGCCTTTGGCACCTTGTCCTTATTACACCCGGAGCCACCCAATATGAATAGTGGGCAAAAGACCATCAGACGTCAGTATCCTTCTTCGGGTTGCCTGCAGGTCTAAGTCCGCACCATCACTCAGCAG